TTGCTCAGTCCAGTGGAAGCGGCCAAGGATTCGTCAAATGTATGTGTAAAACAAAGTGCCAAAATATGAAATGTCTTTGCGTGAAAAATGTAATGAAATGTAATTCAAAATGTCATTCAAGCCTACCATGTTGCAACAAGTAGGTTAATTGTAATTTTTTATATGAAAATTTTGTTTCCCTTAATAAGAAAGGCATAAATTTTGTTTTGTACAACTTTCATTTTTCTTTACGTATTTTGAATAAATTTTTTTAATGGCACTCTCATTATTTTTTCAGAATAACATTTGTATTTTTGAGGAATGCACGTCATTTATATAATAGCCTTATCAGAACCTTTTTTCATACTTTGCCTAAATAGCATTTGTCATTCTATAGAATGCCTAGGTATTATATACAATGCCTAGGGAAAGTATGTAATAATTCTCATATTTCATAGATTGCCTAAAAACGCCAGGCATTATATACAATGCCTAGGTATTCTATAGGTTGCCGGCTTTTCATACTTTGCCGGTAACAACAATATAAATAATTCAGTATATTTGCAATAGGAATTTATTATTTCAGGGGCTTATATCTCGCGAAGGGTCGCGAGTAGGGATATGGTTCCTTTGACTTTATTGTTCGCACAGGGGCTACTGTTTGGGGGGGTCGCCACCTCTTCATTCGGAGGGTAAATCTTACCATTGGGACTTTAACAGAGCTGTACAGCATATTGATAGGAACAAAAAAGTCAAAGGAACCGTGCCTCATGGAAATTTGTAAATAACGCCCACTAGGGGGCGTCCCAGGCTACTAGTATGTAATAAGTTAAGAAAATATTGACTAGAATAACATAAATTAAATAAATCAATGATTTTTTGTTAAAGTACAAGTATCCATTGCTTAATATGGGATTTGATTAATGCATGAAATTAATTACGGCATCCCTTTTTATACACTGCAGAAATTTTAATTAACATGGCTTTAACAGATGTCTTTACTTAACATAATATGTTTTTTTTCGGCAAATAAGATGTTGGTGAATTTGCTATTTTCATTTATTAAAATAAAAATATTTGTTATTAACCACAAATTTGTTCTAGCAGGTGGTGATTGTTCAGTCAAGCACAGAGGTACCACTGTATTTGATCAATGTGATTTTGATATGTGCGCGATAGCATCGAGGGCTTAATTAGCCATGTTAATCAAGGGATACATGTACTATAAAATGAACTAATTTAAATTACACAAAATATGAAAATATACTTAAAAACTGCAACAATCAAAACAAAAAAATCTTAAAATTTTCAAAAATAAAAAACAAACTGCTTTGCTAAATTTCAATCAATTTAGCAAAGATTCAATTCTAAAAGATCAATTCTATCAAAGCAGTTTGTTTTATTTTTGTTGTTTATAAAGAATTTGGAGTTGTTTTCACATTATTTTAAAACTTAACTTCATAGCTATATTTTATAGTTCAACAACAAATTCTTTTCACTAAAAAAATTTCTCATTTCTTTCTTTCCTTTTTATATAACTTTAATTTTACTTATTTTCTAGTAATATTTGAATACTTTTCATAATCTACATATTATGAATATACATTGAACATTAAGTCACTTTTATCATTTACTATATAATCTGTGTTTTTAATCATTGCATTGATTTTGCTACTTTCTTGTAATTAATTGGATATCAAAATTTGGTAATCAGCATTTGTTTAAAGCATAGTTTTGTAGTTAATTATATTATGGATTTGAATTTGAAACCTGCTATGAATATGGATATATATATATATATAGTTTTTAGATTTTAATCAAAATAAAGTTTGTTTAGAAGGAAAATTTATTGTAGTTTATTTGGGGCTATCAGAAAGGAAAGTGACTATTTTACAGAGTTTTATTAAAATCTGGTCAATAAGCCAAAAATAATATTCTATTTAAAACAGAAAAAAATTGAAAATGTAAAAAAATGAAATAATATATTAATTTCTCAAAAGATATGTAATACTGATGAGATTGTTTAATTTTTATTTGGTTATTTTTTAGTGTCTCTCTCAAAATAGTTTTATCTCAGATAAACAGTTGGTAAAGAATTTTACATAGAAGCCCAGGATTATTTTGACTAATTTTATTAAAATAATCCTGGGCTTTATGTACAGTTATGTAAA